GATACGATGCAGTGCGCCCGGCGCCTATGGCATCTCTGCATTTGACGCTTTTGGATGAGGAAGTGTTGTTGTTGAGCAAAATCCGCGTAGGTGCTGACGAGGTTGTACTCACCAACACCAACACGTTACGGAAGAAATTAAAAAAAATACTGCAAGGTGCAAGCACGGAATGTGGAACGCTATCCAACCGAAGCAAACACGGACTGTTATGCAACCGCAGCAACCATGGGCCGTTATGCCACTGCGGATAACGATCCAGCAAACTCTAAAAGCTTACATAGGAGACCACCTAGTACGAGCTAGGAGCAAGTCAAAACATATTACGTTTACATTTCCATCGGTAGCGACACTACTCGCGGACTCACTACGTCGTTTCCTTTGACTTCGAAATAGACTTACTCGAGGTGTTTGCACGATTACGCTGGGATCCGTGTGAGGTATGCGCCGTATTTGACGGAGCAAGGATTTCCGAGGAATGTCTGATTGGTGACGTGACGTGCTACAAAGAAAGTCTAACGCTACAAGAAAGCGAAAGAGCTGAAGCTGCTACGGCGGCTAGTCCAGAAAGGAGGCTGGTGCCCAGGTTTGACGTACAATTAGAGGGCAAGACGCTTTGTAGCTACAGCAACGAAGAGCTCCGACAGCCTTCATTAACCAGGACGAGCAAGCGCAAGCAAATTTGGGAGTAAGATAATGGAGCATCAACAGGACTACTACTGTAGTGCTCTGTAGCAGTCATTAGTAGATTACAAATAGTAGTGCTTTTTCGTACAAATAGTTGTAGCATTTCTTCAAAAGGCAAAAGAAGATGATAGTAGTGTAGTACCTGTGTGTGCTAGAGTAGTACTTTAAAGACTAATATAGTAATTGAACTACTTATAAACTCGAATCCTTTCAAATCTTCGACTTTGTATCTCGACTTCTGTCTGCTTCTGATATTGATGCCGTAGCCAGCGGTATTATCGCTGCGGCTTTTAGGTTCACCATTTTGGTAGAGACGACCTATGTACCAGGGATACGTACCACTCACTCCAACGGGAAACTATCTCGTGTATCTATAATCTAAATCAGAGTGTAAATATGCAGTACCAGCCGTGTCAAGAAGTTTTTGCCTAAGGACGACATGATTCGAGTACATCATTCCGAACAGCCTGTCTGTATTTCTCGGACATGTTGGTCGCGAAATTAGCACGACGCTGGTTGGATTCAAGCTGCTCGGGTTTAAATGAGCTCTCTGCGTACTAGGCATGGCAGTCAGTGGTACGCAGGACAGCATATTTCGTGCCACAGCCGTCCCACACACAAAATAGAGCTGGATCTAATAGAATTTTGGTGTGCTTGTATGCTATTGGTATTACTAATAATATTAGCATAACGTTAATATCACTACACCGTTCACTCTATTAAGTCATGCGACCTAAATAGTCGTACATCGTACGTAGTCGATAGTATACGGTACTTACACCACAATTACTTGTGTACCAGTTTTAGTCGTTCAAACGTCGTTGTAGCCATTCATCGGCAACTCTAACAGCGTTCAGTGTCAAATTTACGATGACCAGCGAGTCCAAGAGAAACCTTCAGCAAGTCGTGCCAATTCGCGACCGTGTCCGCTGCATCGAATGGATGGAGCTCGACCACGCACTACATGGAAGGAAAGGGTTAATGGGCCGGACTGTCGATTTCTTTCCCAGCCTTTTCCGCTC